CCCCCACCCCCAGGGCACTGACTCCTGTGCCCCCCCCAGCCTCAGGATACTGACCTGCACAAATTTGGACTAAACGATTGGACATGTCAGTTACGTGGAGACAATGAGAGTGTTAATGATTCTACATTTATCGGTATTTTCCCAAAACCAACCGAGAGAAACCGTGATCCTGCTGTCAGTTGTTTCACTCCGTGTCATACACAACAGCACAAGCTTTGCAGTGATCAAACTAAACGTTACTGTAGATAACCTAGTTTTAAAAGTTTACAGCCATTGTAGCATTCGCTCACTGAGAGTTCAACAGTCTAACGTGTTTTGCAAATGTGCTGGGGTAGAAAACAGTAAAATTCTGTCAGGTGGTCACTCGTTGGCTGGCACTCTGGCCTGGTATTGACCCACTGGCAATGTGTTACACATCACTTTCAATCTCTGCGGGAAGATAAATGCCCTAAAGTAATGAGAGAGTTTTTTGGAAACAAGAATGAAATGACTGAATTGTTTCTTCTTGAGCCATACAAATACAAATAGTCACAGACAGTATTGAAGCTCTGGAGCCAAACTCATTCACAGTAACTGCGATGGTTGAATTAATGTCCAACCTAGACAAGAAACTAGAATGCAGAGTAAATTACCAATTTTATGGTTACACTGTGAACTCCAAACTGAACAATATCAGTGAAAATGAATGAAAAAAGTGTGAAACCGATTTTCTGCTTTTTTATCAGCAAGCTCAAAGGTATTTATGAAACAGATATGACCTCAAGGAAAATAATGTGCACAAGGAACTGTCTTATCGTTAGCAAAAGAGTGTTCTTCGGAAGAATTTGCAGAAGCTGTTGAAGCATGCAACATTTATATCTTTATTGACATGAGAAAATTAAATGAAGGAATTTTGAACCATCAAAGTCTCCTGAATTTCAAGACTGCACAATTGTTAAAGAGAAATACTGCAACATTTTCAAGATGACAAATCCAAGTGGAAGCAGAAACTTAAAGAATTTGGAAAAAAATATGTTCTTACCTATTTTCCAATTTATGTACCAGTGCGTATACTGAAAGTATTTTCATTAATGAATTCCATACGGTGACATGAGTGAAATCAATTGGAAGCGGACACAGTGAAAGCTGAACTACAAATTTGCTGCAATTTTGAAAATACTGAGTGCAAGGACATGTATCCAAAATTCCTCCATAATAAGGTGTTAGAGCAGGGGTGGGCAAACTTTTTGGCCCAAGGGCCACATAGGGGAATAAAAATTGTATGGCAGGCCATGGATGCTCACAAAATTGGGGTTGGGGTGCAGGAAGGGGTGAGGGCTCTGGTTGGGGGTGCGGGCTCTGGGGTGGGGCTGGGGATGAGGAGTTTGGGATGTAGGAGGGTGGGGTGGGCTGGGACTGAGGGGTTTGGAGGGTGGGAGGGGGATCAGGGCTGGGGCAGGGGGTTGGGGCATGGGGAGAGGCTCCGGAGTGCAGGCTCCAAGCGGCGCTTACCTCAAGCGGCTCCCGCAAGCAGCGGCATGTCCCTTCTCCGGCTCCTACGCAGAGGCATGGCCAGGTGGCTCTGCACACTGCCCCATCCGCAGGCACTGCCCCTGCAGCTCCCATTGGAGCACCAGAGGGGGCCATTGGAGCACATAGGAGCCGGCACGGAGCCATGCGGCATCTTCCGGGAGCTGTGTGGTGCGGCCCCTGACCCAGCACCCCGGCCGGAGCACCGGAGCAGGGCCAATCCACATGGTACATCCCCGACCCAGTGCCCCGGCTGTAGCGGGGCAAGCCCCAGACCCTGCTCCCCAGTGGGAGCTCGCAGGCCAGCTTAAAACGGCTCACAGGCCGTAGTTCGCCCACCCCTGTGTTAGAGGGCCCCCCACATGCTGTGACCCCTCCAGCCTCCCCTGAATACTGCTTCCTGCATGCTGTGACCTCCACAGCCTCCCAGGATACCCCCTCTGCATGCTGTGACTCCCCCAAGACATTGCCCTCCTGTGTGCTCTGACTCCCCAACCACCCACCCATGCTGTTGTAATGCCAACAGACCCTGGTCGTCGTCCAGCAGGATCAAACCAGGGACCTCTGGAGCTTAGTGCATGAGCCTCTACAGCATGAGCTAAAAGCCAACTGCCTGTTAGCTAAGGCTGTCGAGCAGACTCATTAACTCTCTCTAAGTGTCTGGGTGCCACTGGATGGGACAGAGCCCCACACCCTGGAGCTGTGTGGGTTACACCGTGACACCCCCCAGGATACTGACCCCTGCATGCTGACCCCGCCCTGTATGCTCAGGGTGCAGCTTTTGGGATGGGGCCCGGTGCTGGGGCAGCAGAGCTGGCTGATGCTGAGACCCCAGCAGACAGGGGAGAGGGGAGCCCCTGACCCAGGTCCTGCGTTCAGCCCCTAGCCCTTCGATCCCAGGGGACTCTCCCTCCACAGAAGGAGCCACTTTCTCCCAGCACTGAACAAGGAGCTTCACCGGAGCCAGGGACTCTTGTTCCCAGAGCTGCTCCCTCTGGGTCTGTCTGTCACTCTGCCCCACTGCAGCGCTTCCGCCTGGGGAACACAGCAATGGCCAGGCTGAGTCCGACCCACCTACTTGCTCTCCTGGCTCTGACAGTGGCCAGCCCCAGACGCTCCAGAGGAAGGTATAAGATCCCAGGGGCGCTGGAACAGGGGGCGCCAAGGGGCCATGGCCATGGCCCTCCCACTTGTCACCACGGGCCCAGTCCCCTGCCCCTCCTCTCCCCCCGAGGCCACCTTCCCCAGCCAGGCCGGAAGCTGGAGCCGAGCCTGGACAGCTGTGGGGAGCCACGGACCCTCCACCTGCCCAGGGTGGGGGGGCCGAGAGCACCTCCCAGCCCATGTCCCTGCCCACCGAGCCCCCACCCAGGGCAGGCGGAGGGTCTGCGGCTCCCCACAGCTCTTACCCCGACCTGGCTCTGACCTGGCCAGGGGGCGGTGCCTTGGGGGCTGAAGAGCATGCAGGTGACCCAGGCAGCTGTAGGGAGCCACGGACCCTCCGTCTGCCCTGGGGGTACAGGGGCTGGGGGCTGCTCTCAAGCAGGTGGAGGGGCCTGGGCTCCCTGGCTCAGCTCTGGCCTGGCCATGGGGCAGGGCCGAGGGGGGACGGGGGCGCCACAGAGGGGACAGGGCCTGGTGGCCTGCTCCGTCACCCCTGGCCCCACAATAGGAGAGGTGGGATAACTTGCCTCCCATTAAGTCTCTTCCTATTTCTAACACAGAAAGGAGTAAACCCCAGAGCTCTCGGTCTCCCTTCTCCAGCCCAGTCAGTGCTTTAGAGTCCCTCTAGTTCGTCTCCTTTCGAAGCCAGACAGTCCCAGGCTTCACATTCTCCTCACCGGCAGGAGTTCCTAGGCCGCAGCGTAGAGCCATCAACTGCTGAGCAGGGGGCTGGAGGGGTTGATTGGAGGGAAAGACTAACGATGCTAAATCCAAGAAAGCAACGGTCTCCAAGGAGAAGGAGGGTTCTACACAGCGGGGGGAGAGAGGAGTTACTGAGGCTGGGACAGGAGGTGTAACAAGATGTAAAGGGAAGAGGAAATTGGTGCAAAGAACTCCCTGGCACTGAGCTGTCCCAGGCTGAGAGTCTCCCAAGGGGAGGGGGAAGGAGTCTCAGCGCAAGAGACACTTCAAAGTAGGGCAGACAAAGCACTAGACAACGCCGCCCTGTAGCAACAACACTCTGGTGTCCTGCAGCAAGTCAGGCAGGGCCGGCCCTGGGGGCAGCACAGCGGGTCCAGGCTCAACCCTGCCCCAGCCTGCCCAGAGTGACTGACGATGGCACCGCACCCAGCCGAGAGGATCTGGCCTGGACTTTATCCTCCAGCGCCCAGTTCCTCTCTCCCGCTCTACAGCTCGGCTCCTGTACGGTCCCCGCCAGTGTCTGCGCCTGCCAGGCCCTCGGCCCGAGCTGCTGCCCAGCCTCCCCCCGCTCTGCCTCCTGGAGCAATAGGGCCTCCTGTAAAGGCTCCTCCGGCTGAGCCTGCAGCCTGGTGCAGTCCCAACCCAGCCGCAATAGCCCTAGTGTCTCCCGCAGGGTTATCCCACCCCACCTCCCTTCAGCCTTTTGCTCTGATGCAGTGGGCCCTATAGAAAACCCTGGAGACAGTTAGTGCTCGGCCTGGCCCCACAGCGGCTTCCCCCTCCCCAGCACAGGTCGCAGCCTGTGTCCAGTCTCAGAGCCAGTTTTCACTCCGTGTCAGTCAGCCCAGCCCCAGGGCTCCAGCATGAACCCTGCTGATCTCAGGCCAGGCAGTGAGCTGCACCCTCAGCACTGGCTCCCAGAGCTAAGTGGGGGGGGATCCCAGGGCAGCCCCAGGAGGAGGCCCCATTGCCCCCTTCCTGCCAGGGGGGCTCATGCCCCTCCAGCGCCCTGCTGTGTGTGAGGCGCCCATGGAGCGGGCTCTTGCCCTGCTGACACAGCAGGCGCCGGTAGGGGGAACTGAACCCCCGCTACACGTTTCACCATAAGGCTCAGGAAGGAGTCTGGGTCAGTGTCGGGGGGCCAGGCCTTGGAGTGCTGGGGGTAGGGACAGATGGACTCCCCAGAAGGGCACGGCCTGACTCTCCCCCTGGCGGCACCCACAGGCGCCGGGGGCTTGCCGTCTGGCACGCAGCCTTGGGAGGCAGGAGGAAGGGCAGGGCAGAGAGCGGAGCAAGGGCAGGTGCTTCCCGCCCCGTGTCCTGCTGCAGGCTGGGAGGGGGCTGGTGCTGAATGCCCGGTGCCCAGGGAGCCCCCTCGGAACTGCTGAACAGAGGAGACATGGGCCGGTGTGAGGAGAGGGTTTTATTGCTCAGGGCTGTGTCCAGGGGCTGGGTTCAGGGTGCAGCCATGGTCTCCTTGATCCAGTCCAAGACACTGAGCACCCGCACATAGACGCCGTACTTGGCAGCCAGGCAGCTGCGGTCAAAGCTGAGGATCCCGGCCGCATACCAGGTGTCGTCCTCGGGGTCGTGGATGGCAAAGGCGCTGCCGGCGTCCCCAACGCAGGTGGACTCGCGCAGCTGGCTCATGCCAACGCAGAAGGTGTGGTTGTTCAGCAGTGGCTGCCAGGGGTGCGCCCGGTAGTACTCCTGGCAGCTGCCGCTCTCGGCCACAGGCAGCAGGACGTACTTGAGGTGCTTTGGGTGCTCCAGGAGGGTGTTCCAGCCCCAGCCAGAGACAAAGCCCACCCGCCCCACCTTTGCATAGTCCTGCTGGGCCAGGCAGATGGGCATCACGGCCTCCCCAACGGGCACCTTGTGCTTGAGCTTGAGCAGGGCCAGGTCCACAGCCCCCGGGAACGCAGGGTGCAGGACAATGCGCTCGACAGCCCCGGCGGGCGTCTCCTGGCCCAGAAAGAGCCGCAGGGTGGGGGCGATTTCTTCCAGCGTGCTGTTCTCGCTGTGGCCCAGGTAGAGGTTCCTGCCGGTCGTCAGCAGCCACTGGTCACTGATGAGCGTGGCCCCCGCGGTGTGGTTGTGGCGGCTCAGCAGCCGGCCCTGCCAGGGGAAGCTGTTCTCGGCTGCCATCATGCCCCCAATGATGCGCTGCACCTGTCTGGCCGGGTTCTTGGGCTTCCCACACACTGCAGAGGGCAGAGACCCAATGTGAGCCGCCCCTTAGCCTGCAGAGCCCAGCCCCCCCCCGACACCGCACCGCACAGCTCCGACAAGCCATCTCCTTACCCAGTCCAGCCCTGGGCCGGCCGGGGCCTGGTGCCACCATCCAGGGCTGGGTGTGTCACTGGCAGAGGGAACAGCACCCAGCCACGTGGCTGCCAGAGGGGCCGTGGCCTCTGCCTCGCTCTGCGGAAGCTCTGCTTCAGGGAACGCTGCCCGCGGGCAGCCCCAGCGCCATTGGGAGAGCAGGTGCCCGCTACTCCCACCCCAGTGCTCTGCCCCGCCCCCACCTCCCGCTCACCTGGCTCACAGATGGGCAGCGCCTCTCCAGCTGCTTCATTCACCCACACGTGCTGCTGGCTACATCGGTACAGGCCTGGGGGCCGGAAAACCGGAGTCAGTGCCAGCCGCCCCCGGGCAGGGCACACAGGCCTCTGTGCCCGTGCCAGCGGGGGGCAGGGCCCCAGGCATGTCCCCCGGGGGGGGGCAGGGCCCCAAGCATATCCCCTTGGGAGGGCATGTGTATCCCCCACGGGAGGGGGGCAGGGCCCCATGTGTATCCCCTGGGATGGGATGG